GGTCTCAGAGGAAAGGGGAGAGAGCAGGAGCAAGATTAAGAGTTTAGGTAGAAAAAGGCAACATATGTTGCCTTATCCACTGAGATTTACCTACCAAGTACATAAGGTATCTTTCTGTCTATGGTGAAAAGGAGTTTATCGATGATAAAGAGAGATGTGTAGATCAGTATACACAGATGAAGTTCCACACAATCATTTTTTTTTTAATCCTGTTATTATGGAATCAAGGTTAGAGTATTGGAGATGAGATTGTCAAATGACAGGTCATCCCAAGCAAAATGGACCCAGCCAAGTCCAAAGTGACAGCCATGTTGATACAGTTTCCCAGGGTAAAAAGCTACTCTTTATCATCACCCCCCAAGTGCACTATTGACCTTGGCCATTCACCTCCCTGAGACTTCTCCTTGGCCCTCTGTTTCTACGTGAGTGAAATAAATGGGTTGGATTAAACTCACATGGAGCAACCTAAATGTCCATCAACAGTTAACTAGATAAACAAATTGTGTATCTATACAATGTAATACTACACTCAGCAATAAAAAGGGAGGAACTACTGATACACTCAACAACATGGATGAATCTCCAAATAATCATTCTGGGAGGAAAAGTGCCAGACCCCCCCCCAACCCCCACCAAAAAGAGAAAAAAAAGTACATATTGTTTAATTCCATTTATATAAAATTCTACAAAATGCAAAGTATTCTGTAGAGAAGGCAAACCAGTGATTGCTTGGGAATAGGGGAGGGTTATAGAGAGGGGCATGAGGGAGAGATTACAATGGGGCATGAAGATATTTGGTGGCATGATGAATTTATTCATTAACTTGATTGTGGTAATGGTTTCACTGGTATATACATATATCAAAACTTAATAAATTGTATACTTTATGTGCAGTTTATCGTATGGCAATTATACCTCAGTAAAGCTGCAATAAAAACCTAATCACACCATGATCTTTAGGTGGCTTCCAACTGACTTCAATTCTTTTTTTTTTTTTTTTTCCATGATTCTTCTATGATCCCTTCACCCAACTTCCCTAAAGAAACATCATTAGCCCGAAACAAATATCCTTTTGTTTTTAGAAGGCAGCAATCCTGGTTTTACCAACTGAAAGAGGGGAAAGTTCTAAGTAATCTTCTTAGTAATTAAACATACAGTTCTTCACTCCTCTTCCCCAAGCTTGCCAAAATCTTTCTGAGATCAAATGCCCTAAAAGATGACCTCTGTTCTCTACTTTAGGGCCCTAAGTAGAGAAAGAGGAAAAATCAAAATCAAATCAATAAACATATTTGCCCCAGCAACTTCCACTCTTGTGATATAAAGAACTGAAGCCAAAGATTTTTAAAGTTATCTGGTTCCTTTAGGGTGACCTGGGTGTTAATAAAATGGACTATAGCTGTGAAAGATTCTCTTCCCTCTTTGGAGTGGCACTCTTACAATCAGCTTGATAAAGCCCACTGCCATCAAGTGAATTCCAACTGATAGCAACCCTATAGGACAGAGTAGAACTGCCCCCATAGAGTTTCAAAGGCTGTAAGTTTTTGTTTTTCTTTATTGTGATTTGGGTGAAAGTTTACAGAGCAAATTCACTTTCCATACAGCAGTTCACACACACATTGCCTCATGACGTTGACTACAATTTACCCCAATGCAACAGCTCCCCTCCCACTTCCTCCAGATAGTTACCTCTTCCCTGTGTCCGTCCATCCGTCCATGCACTTCTGCCCCCTGAGCTGTCTCCCTGTGCATAAACAGCCCCTCTTTCTCCCAAAGAGTGTATCTTTCCAAGGAGTGTATCTACCTTAGGTATATGTTCAACCCATATGTCAAAGGCTATAAGTCTTTATGGAAGCAGACTGCCTCATCTTTCTCCCATGGAGCGGCTGGTGGATTGGAACCACCAACCTTTCTGTTAGAAGTTGAGCACTTAACCACTACACCACCAGAGCTCCTAATTAGTTTGATAAGAAAACCAAAACATCAATTCAGAGATAGAGAGATGTAACTTACTAGGGTGGAAGTACTTTTTACCTGGTTTCAACCTACCACTACAAAATAAACTGGTCCAATGTGAAGTTTTCACAATTTCTGACCACTAATCTACATTCCAAAGGAGGCCTGGTGACAGTGGTTAAGTGCTGGGATGCTAACCCAAAGATTGGCGGTTCAAACCCACAAGCTGCTCCATGTGGCAGTCAGCTTTCTGAAAGATTTATAGCCTTGGAAACCCTATGGGGCAGTTCGACTTTGTCCTATTGGGTCACTATGAGTCAGAATCGACTCAATGGCAATAGTTTGGTTTTGGTTTAGTCTACATTCCTGAAAGATTACACATGAAATGTGGCACGTGTGTGTGTATTAAGTTGAATCATTTTTCAATTGATTACTGTGGAAAAGAAATAGACTTGGGATCATTTCAAGTCCACTTTTGCTATTTACCAGCTTTGTCATCCGGCAACGCTTTTTACAGATAAAGAAACTGAGATACACATAAATTTTTACCAACGTCACACAGCTAAGAAGAGGTGGAATCCAGGATTCAAACCTAGGCAGTCTGGCTTTGGAGTCCCTGTACTTAACAGGTTAACACTACTCTATACTGAAAGGTTTCAGAAAATGAATTTTTAAACACTTCTGTTAAACTAATTACCATGGACTTATCTGCTTGATGACTTTGAAGACTGAGTCATAAAAATCACAGGTCTCTTAAGAAGGGACTTTCAGAACTGTTAGATCATCTAGTGAAGTACACTCCCTGCCTCTAGGTGGGGCCACAGTGAAAACTCAGGCCTGGGAAAAGCCTTCTGAGAACCTCCTCTCACAGCTCATTCCAAATCTTCATAGTCAGAAAATTCTTAAAACTAAATATAATTGAAATCTTTTATGCTGCAGGTAAGTGCCATTCCTTGGGCTGAGAAATCCCAATGTTTCCATTTCTCTTACTCATTCACTCCACTATTAAATAAACATTTATTAAGTATGAGCTAAATCACTGACCCTCAAGAGGAAAAGCTCTCAAGTTCTGATAGCGTCAGTCAGGTAATAAGATGGCTGTGGACTGTGGGTTTGAGGAGGGCAGGTAGGGTGCAGAAATGAGAGAGCATGGCCCTCATAAATGGAGGTGGGTACAGGGTTCCCAGGCTGCTAGCACCATACTTGTGGGTTTAACCATATAATGCTTAAACACCCTAACAAACTCACCCAGAACAAACTCAGGGAGAGAGCATAGGTCAATTCCAAGAACCATGATGCCTGGAAAAGGCACATGTTCCTTTTTTCTGTACCCTAAATCCGCCCAGGAGTTCCTGGGTGATGCAAATAGTTAACACACATGGTGGCTAGCCAAAAGGTTGGAAGTTCAAGTCCACTCAGAGGTGCCTTGGAAGAAAGGCCTGGTGCTACTTCCAAAAAACAGCCATTGAAAACCCTATGAGGGAAAAAAAAAGAAAAGAAAACGCTGTTGGAGCACAGTTTTACTCTGACATACCTGGGGCAGCTGTGAGAATCCACTGCATGACAACCGGTTGTTAAATCTACATAACACCACCAGCTTGCTATCCTCCCTCTAAAAGCTTTTCATTTACTGAGGCTGTGATTATTGAGAAGAACTTTTTCTTCTATAAACAAAATAACTTCAGTAGCCGAATTAGAAATGTTCCCATGTGACACTACTGAACAGCAAAAGGCGAGGATGATGTCAGACCCTTAGACTAGGAGACACAAAGTCTAGATTCTGGTCGTGTTCCAGTATGTCTTCCAGTATGTCTTCCATTGTGCATTTATTGAGCACCTAAGCACAGAGGATGTTGAAGAAAAGACAGTTCCTGCCCTCAGGGAACTTACAGTCTATCCAGGAAAGAAATGGAGTGCACAATGGAGCGCTGGAGTTAAACTCAAGATGTCAAGGAAGCACAATGAAGAATTTAATTCACAGTCACAATCCCACCCCCACCACATCACTGAAGGTCTTATATTTCCTTTATTAAAATTCCTTCTTAATCTACTATGCCCTGCAGAAAGATATTATGCTTGGTAAAAAAAAAAAAAAAAAGGTGGGGTTGGGAGGAAAGACCCTCAATGAGATGTATTGACAGAGTGGCTGCAGCTATGGGCTTAAGAGTACCAAAGATTGTGAGAATGACGCATGAGCTGGCATTGTTTCCTTTCGTGTTAGGGTCGCCATGTGTGGAATTTACTCAAGGGCACCTAACAACGATAATCTACTATGCTATGCTATGAAAGACAAAACACACCTCAAAAGGCCAAAACTCCTAAAAAAGCATAAAAGGCGATTAAAGTACAAATTGTCGATTGGCTATGTAATAGTGCTCATCTGCATACTTTAAAAATTGCTTTCAGCTTGCTGTTGTTGTTACGTGCGCCGTTGAGTCGGACTCATAGCGACCCCTCCTTGGGTTTCCGAGGCAGTATCACTACGGAAGTAGATTGCCCCATCTTTCTTCGGAGGAGGGGCTGGGGGGTTTGAACCGCCAGCCTTCTGGTTAGCTGTCAAGTGCCTTAGCTACTATGCTACCAGAGCTCGACAATAGGATAAAGACAGAGCAAAAGACCAGAGGAGTTGCAACTCTCTAATATTCGCTTCGAAAAAAAATAGGTCCTCCACCAAAGTGGGCTTGTCCTAATGAGGATAACTCGGAGAAATCTCCAAAGTCAAAACCTCAGGAAGTAACATCCTTGGTCTCAACCGTATATGTGCCCGACCAGCACCCACAATCCCACGCGTCCTCTCGCAGACTCACTCCCCAGACGCTCATGAACCCCTCCTCCACACCCCTCGAAATTCGTGACTGAGGCCAGGAACGGCCCAGACCGAGTTGCTGGCGCTCTCTGGTGGCCAGAGGCGGACACTGACCACGAGAAGCCCAAAGGCGGGGCTGGAGAACGAGCTGGAGGGCGTAGTCTTCTCGCGTGAATTGATGGCGTCATTGGAGCGACGGGCCCGGAAGGAAGTAGCGTGCTGAGGGGTGTGGTGGTTTTCTGCGGTTGCAAGGGGGTTCAGACCAGTACGGAGCGCCTGGAGGGACAGCCGGGTACGCCGCCCCCGCCCCGTCTTAGTGCGCGCACTGGGCCTAGTTGCCGTTCCTGGCCGGAGTTAATCTGCGAGCTTTTCGGGTCCCCGCCCCAGCACTTTTTCTTCTTCAGCCCTCCCACTACTGGAACGAGAAAGAAACCCCTTTCGGTCCAGTCTCCTCCCTGCTAGCCTTAAGACGAGACAGCATTTGACGCCCCGGCCCAACCCAGGGTGCTAGGGACGAGCGATCCTCTCTCGGAGGAGTACAGGGAAGGGGCGCGGGGTGGAGTGGGTGACCTCGGGGAGGGAAGGCATTTGTACAAAGGACGCGGATGCAAATGTGCAGCTGGGACCACCATGGTAAAATAAGTGCCTCGCAGACTGCGCCAGAATTATGTTAGACCCGAGAGGCAGAATACACGTCTTGGGGCGAGTGGGCCGGACACCCCTGACTGTAAACTTTGCTGTCAGTCACCATAGATTTTACAGAGCATTAAGTATTCAGGAAACTAGCTTCTAGATGCCAACTCTTTTACGTCCTGGTGGTGCCTGGATGCAGTTGGACCCAGGAACCCAGAGTCTCTTAGACTGGGAAACTCCCCTTTGTTCTCTGATCAGGAGTTTGGGGACCTGTCAGGTGCTAAGTGCCATTCAAGTATATACTGGAGTATATAAGGAATGACTGAGAAGGTGAACTAAAGGTCGGAGAATCCTGCCTTGGAACTCTGCTCACATCCTGTCTCTGTCACCCTAGCATCTGAAAGGAGTAAATAATGGTTGTCTCTGAAATGGGCCGCAATTAGGATTGGGAGCCTCTGACCAGAATTACATAGCCACAACAGCCTGTCATTTGACATCCTCTGTAATTTCGTCCAACGTGCTGCAGCTGCCTCTCTCCCTTTTTTTCTAGCATGGATGGCTCCATTTAGAACACATTGGTGTTCACAGGAAGAGAAGGCTGTGTTCTGCATGCTGCCTAGTTGGCACTGGTTCTCCCTTGTAGGGTAGTATGTGGAGCCATTCATTGCCTCTTCAAAGAGATGCAGAATATAATTCTATGGTTAACGAATATGAGTGTTGATTGAGAACAAGGATAAAGAGTTGTAACTAGCCTTGTGCTTATACTACCACACGGTGTAAGCCACTTTCAGGGAGCTCACCTTGGTGAGGTATTCTTGCTTTTCTCCTGCTTATAAGATACACACATTTTCCCATCTTTTCCCTAGGGTAAAAGTTCACTGATGGCTCAATTGGGAGCAGTTGTCGCGGTGGTTGCCAGTTTCTTTTGTGCATCTCTTTTCTCAGCTGTACACAAGATAGAAGAGGGCCATATTGGGGTTTATTACAGGTAAGGCAGAGGCAGGTAGAAGTCTGCACTTCCTGTTAAATAGCTTCCTTTCTTAGCCTCTGGCAGATTCTGCTAAATATCTGAGTATATTTTGTTAAATAAGGGAGCCTTTTGCATTGAGCTTTTGTGTCAGTGACTATGAGGAGGAAAAAAAAAAAAATATATATATATATATATGTGTGTGTGTGTGTGTGTGTGTGTGTGTGTGTGTGTGGCTTTATATATATGTGTGTGGGTATATATATATATGTAATTGTAAAACTTTTCTTAATATTCTAAAACGATGCTGTGGATGGTGATTGGTAAGTGTGTATATAAATTTAAAGACAAAACCTAAAGGAGAGACGGTGCTCCTTGCAGACCATATCTGAAACATTGTTTTCTCCTATATCCCTCTGGGATTCTTGGTTCCACACTACTAGGTTATTCCACAAAGTTCTTAATAGTGAACTAAGAAGGTAGCCTACTCTGCTAATTTAAAGAATGGTTACTTTGGGACTTCTCTTTAAAATACACATGACTGGAAAAAATGAAAGAACCTGCACGTTGATTAATACCAATCAAGGCAAGTCCCAGGATGGTAGTTCTTAACAATTACTAAAACTCATTGCTGTCGACTCAGATCCGACTCATAGCGACCTCTCCTTGGGTTTCCGAGGCAGTGTCACTATGGAAGTAGATCGGCCAATCTTCCTTCTGAGGAGTGGCTGGTGGGTTTGAACCGCCTGCTTAGCAATCAAATGCCTTTAGGCGCTATGCTACCAGAGCTCCTTCTTAACAATTAAAGGAGCCCATCATTCCACTTTTTGTTTTATTGCACTTTTACATGTAAGTATATATGTATGTATGTATATATGTATATGTATGGGAGCTCTCTGGTGGCATAGTGGATAAGGCATTTGGTTCCTAACCAGAGGGTCAGCTATTCAAACCCACCAGCTGCTCTGCAGAAGGAAGATGTGGTGATCACCTTCCATAAAGATTTACAGCCTCAGAAACCCATTGGGGCTTGCTATGAGTCTGAATCAACTCAATGGCAGTGAGTTTTGGTGTGTTTTTTGGGATATATATATATATATTTGACTTCATAATATAAAAGCAAAAAAAAAAAAAGTTACAGATTATGGGTTGCTTTCCTCTTAGTAATCTTAATAACGAAGTGTTTACGTTTTTATGAACCCATTATTATTTGTGCCCTATGATGCTTATTTCTGGATTGCCAATAACAAGTTCTAAAACCGATTGGTTCTCCCCTCCATCTGCTTACATATACCAGGAAAAAAAAAAAAGGCATTTAATTTTGTTACTCATTTACATGCAACTTCATTGGAAAATTAACTCTGTTGCCCCCCCAAAAAAAATATATATTTTTTTTAATGACTTATAAAGAGTAGTTAAAATTATTCTTTGGTTGCTCATGCCCCTGGATTGCAACATTACTACAGTTAATTGATAATTACGTAACTGGATTTAACTGCCCGATGAATTGCCAAAAGCTCAGTGAATATGGCAAAATAAACCAAACTTCCTTTCTTAGCCTAAATATAGATTCTTCTGTCTTCATTCCACTTAGCCTGTGTGCTTATTTCCCTCCTTGCAAAAGCATGAATAATGATTTTATGTTTTACCATCAGGCTTCCTAGAATATTGGGGTAGTGCTGAGATAAAGAAAGGGATCTTGCATGGCTCTGCCACGTGCCACTGTATATTAAATGTTTATGGGGCTGAAGAGACAATTGGTCCAAATGGTATTGATTGCTAAAGTATCTAAGAGAGCCTTGCTAACTGAGCCTGTCTGTCTCTTCCTCCTCTACAGAGGTGGTGCCCTGCTGACTTCTACCAGTGGCCCTGGTTTCCATCTCATGCTCCCTTTCATCACATCATATAAGTCTGTGCAGGTATACTTGGCTTGTGTAGTATGGTTGGATGACTGGAGATTCAGGGTGCCAACTAATGCATGATTTGGAATTATTGAGCCATTGAGTGAGTGAAGTACCTTTTCAGGGAATGATTTAAAGATAGGTTTGTTTGTATGTTTGTTTGTTTTTGATAAAGAATGAAACTCCATTTACATAGGAGTTTTACTTGGTTGTTGAAATAGCTGAATGGGGTCACTGCCTTGGCAGTTTCCAGCTGGGAATTATTTCTTTGCTTCAAGACAAAGCCAGAGAAGAATCTGTTCTGAATGCACAGAAAGAAAAGGGGGGCTATTTAAAATCTCAGGCTACCATGATAAATGGAAATATAACATGATACTTTTCCTGAGTTTTATTTGAACTTCAGAGATGTGAACCTAATTTTGGTGGGGGTGGGAATTGAACTTGGTGAGGGATTATAACATTTAACAAAGGAGTAGAGTTGGTTATGACAGATCTGAAGCCTGGCAAGTTAGACTGTTGTTGTTGTTGTTATGTGCCGTCGAGTTGGCCCCGACTCATAGCGACCCCTCCTTGGGTTTCCGAGGCAGTATCACTACGGAAGTAGGATTGCCCAACCTTCCTTCC